CTTTTCAAAATAAACTTACATTTAAATAAATCACTTATAGGTCACTCTGGGGTGAATCAAATCAAAAGACTATCAACTGAGGAAAATATTATTTTGTGTCTCATACAACTGACACTACTTGTATGAGGATCTTTTTTGTCTCACAGTTTTGTGGATCCAGAAGTTTAAGATTGGGGTCCACAAATTTGTTAGAGAAAAGAAGTCTCGCACAACTAATGTCAATTGGTGAGGCATACAATAAGACTTCTCACCAACTAATAACAAACAATTTTGTGCATACTAAATCCCTTTAGGTCTTAGACATTTTTTTTTTCTTTTTTTCTTTTTTTTTGGGGGGGGGGGGGGGGGGGTCTGTTTTAGAAAAAAAAAGATCTCAGCCTCATCATAATGTGTGGCATAGATTGAGATAGCCTTTCTGAGATTTTCCTTCTTCCCTTCTCAAAACACAACCAAAAAAATCAAGAATCACACCCTCTCAAAAAATAAGAAATTACCACAGCAAAATCCCAACTATCTACACTTCAAGAAGAACAGAAAAAGAAAAGCCATGACCAACATGATCATGGCCTCCTCCAAAGCCATAATCACTTCATCTCCATCTCCAAGATTCAAACTTTCCCTCCAACAAATCCCCCTTCCCAAAATACCCCTCCCCAAATTAACCAAATCCCTCAAACCCCTCTCCATCCCATCAAACCTCAAGTCCATTTCAGTAATTCTTGCTAGCTCATTGGCCATAGCACCACCTTCACTAGCAGAAGAAATTGAAAAAGCCTCCCTTTTTGACTTCAACTTAACACTTCCCATAATCATAGCTGAATTCCTCTTTCTCATGTTTGCTTTAGACAAGCTTTACTTTTCCCCATTAGGTAAATTCATGGATGAAAGAGATTCTTCCATTAAAGAGAAACTAAACAGTGTGAAGGACACATCTGCAGAAGTGAAGCAATTGGAAGATCAAGCTGCTGCAATTATGAGAGCTGCAAGAGCTGAAATATCAGCAGCATTGAATAAAATGAAGAAAGAGACTCAACTAGAAGTTGAACAAAAGATTGCAGAAGGGAGAAAGAAAGTTGAGGCTGAGTTACAAGAAGCTTTGGCTAGCTTGGATAAGCAAAAGGAGGAGACTATTAAGAGTCTTGATTCTCAGATTGCTGCTCTTAGTGATGAGATTGTCAAAAAAGTCCTTCCTGTTCAGTAACTAATTCTGAAAGTTGTAGTAGTATAATTTTTTTTTTTTAATTACTGTTTGATCAAAGAAATATAAATGTGATATACTTGGTCCTTTTATATGGTGAATCTCATGTAGTGCACATCATCTTTTACTCTTTTCTTGGTTTTACTTAGTAGAAATTTTTCAGGTTTTTTTAAAGAAGTTAAAGAAAGCTATAGCTAATAGCTCAAAATTTTCAGGTTTACTCACATTTGAAAGCTATAGCTCAAATTTTGCTTGTCAGTTGTACTTCTTGTAGTATTGAAGTAAAATAGGCATGAATAAAGTTAATTGATCGATATAGAGAAATTCATATTGTTTACCCTAAAACGGATAACAATGCATTTATGGAAAAGGGCCAAAAATGCTCCTAATCTATTGAAAATGGCTCACAAATGCCCTCCGTTAACCTTTAGGTTTAAATATACCCTTAACATTTTCTTTGAGTTCAAATATATCCCTGAAACTAACAATAAGATCCACCCATTATTTGTAAAAAAATTACACGGGTCGCCCTATTTGGTCACCCCCATTTAACCTATACCCATATTTTTAAAATTATTTAACCTATACCCTGATTTTTACAACTTCAGGCGCCTCCTTCTTCCTGCTACCTGTGCGCTCCTTTCTTCCTCCTTTCTTTTCCTCTTCTTCTTCTTCTTCTTTTCTCTCTCAAACACATGAAATTCTGTGTAAGTATTATTGAATGAATATAAAATATACAGTGATTTAGCACTAAGGTATAAATTTTGCATTAAGTACATCTGAAATTTCACTCCCCCAAAAAAGAATCAAAGATGGTTCTTCTTAATGCTGAATTTCCTGATAATTCCATTATAGCAATTGGATCTTA